TCTCTCTCTCTCTCTCTCTCTGTCTCTCTCAGTTTTTGGTACCAGGCAGCCCTGAACCTGAACTTGCTTTATATCTTACCAGCCCAAAGGAAACTGGCAAGAGATACTCTTCAAATCCCTGATTCCTCATATGCAAAATGGAGATAGAAATGTCTAACTCAGAGATTTGTTTTAAGGGTTAAACGGGCTCTACTATTTAAAAGCCGCATGGAATAAACGACCAGGGAAATACGCCAAGCTAGTTAGGATTTCCTATGTGTGACAGAATATAAGTTGCTATTTTTGTTTGTTTCTTTATACTTTTCTAAACTTTATAAGCTGTGCACGATCTGCTTATATTACTTTAATCAGAAAAGAAAAACAAAGCAAAAGAGAACTAATCTCTCCCCTTAAGTAGATAATAAGGAGGTGTTTTCATTACATGTTAGAAGATGGAAAATAAATAGTAAACTCATGAATTGAAATGTCTGATTTTTTTACTATCCAAGAAAAAAAGGGATCTCATGTAATTTACATGTCATAGCAAGGATGAAGTCACATGTTCACACTCTAGAATGTAAATGTCTATCACCAGGGTAGAAGTTCGATTTCAGCCAACAAATGCTATGCTTGACCACAGAGGTCTAACTATACCATTGACTCAGATTTGGCTAGTCGTTTTTCTTTCAGTGGAACCTGGTTAGTATAGAGTTTGATATTCCATCCTAAGACATAAATTTTTAGAAGACTAAATGATTCTTTTGGTGGCCAAAAATAACTACAGTCTTTTGAGATGTTGCAACAAAATTTCTTCTTCAAGAAAGTTGTATTTGGGGTCATAAGAACTGAGCATTCTTACTTCCTCTCTATGGTCAGTTATCTTTTTTGTAAAAATGGATTTCCTTTCCGTTGTCCCGTTTTCTGAATTGTACAGGAGTTCTCTTCAACAGAGATCACTAACTGGAGGAAAGCAGATTTCTTTAGAAAAGCTGAGAGGGCAAGAAAGATTGTCTACATTTAGACAGAAACGTGACTGTTTAGTAAAAGATGCTGACATTCTCCTTTTATCGAGTTTCCTTCTTCTCAATTTTCTGTCCAACGGGACACCAAGAAGCAAGTATCAAAATCCAAGAAAAGAGTGTGACTTACCCATGCAGTCTGGGCCCCAGTGGCCTGGACAGCACTGAGGCTGCAGATAGTCCTTCCTACAGATGTGGCGGCATCCAGGGAGAGACAGCGAGTATGTTCTGATCTCAAAGGTGTACCTTCAAGGGTAAAAAAAGGACATTAACTCACAATCAGAGAGATCCAGTTAACTCTGGGCAGTGAGGTTGCCCTAGGTTTTTATTTAGGTATTTATACTTGCTTATATTTTGAAAAATATACATTGAACACGTTTTGGTTTCTAGGTAGAATAAAACATAACCCTGATTAATTGTAAGAAATGGATGAAAAAAAACCAGGGCACATTGAAAATAAGGATGAAATATCTAAAATGATGCCAGTAGTGAAGTTAGTAGATGAGACGAATCATGTTGGGTTCTAGGCACTTCAAGCTAGAAGTACACTTGACATTTGTCACTGGGTATCCTAGCAGCCAAGGCGAGAAGAGAAAGGCCATGAGTTAAGTGATACACAGGATGTGTGGGTTTAAAACAAACCAATGGCTCAGGAATAGCACATATTTTTGCAGATACTATAGGTATGGACATTTCTGTGCAAGGTCGCATAATGTAGTGAGCAACATGTGCCAGTTTCCTCGAGGGAGATTCAGCGATGAGGTCCTTAGAACAGTTTTTGTACCAGCTGAGTTACAAGTCTGGAATAGCAATTCTGTGGAGGCCAAACACCATTGTTTACTTACAGGGATCTCTGCATGGATGGCTTATTCCAGGATTTGACTTTCGTGTTTCTAGATATAACAGTGTTAAAGTTTCATTGTATACAAAATAAGAAATTGTACTAATCCTTTACCCATGAAAAATGAAATCACTCAGTGCTGCTTCATTTCTAAATTAGTAGACTGACTAAATAAAAAATTGTTTGCACTTGAGTTGCATGGCTGTGCCCATTAGCCGGTGAGCAGACGTGCTTGTGATCCTTTGCAAGGATTAGCTTTGAATTATGAGAGTTTGAATCATAAGAGGATTTCAGACATGCAGAGCTCACATGAAATGCAATGAAGCTGTGATTCATCCATCTCCCTTCTTGGGGTTCTAATGAATAACAGGGTCCATAGCTAGTTGGTAAGACGACTGTCAGACCCAAGGCTTTTAACATATTCTGACTAGAACCCTTTCCAAGGGAAACAGAATCTATATTTTCAAACTAAAGAAAGGCAAAATGAAGGGAAAATGTTTATGTGCCATGCAATACAGTTAATTTTGCATTAAAATGTGAATCAATAATAATATGTTTTTTAGACTCAAGGTCATAGCTGTGAGTTACCTAAGTTTGAATTCATGTAGCCTCAGAGTAAGAGAAAATCATGGAAATGCTTTGTAGTTTTGGAGACAGGAAGTTTCTGTTTAGATTCACAATCCCTTGAGTTCCAAGACGCGAGCACACTTATTTTCTCATAATGTTACCTGCAGTCTCGAACCCCTTTGGAGCCATTGGTAACCTTGGTGTAACCATCTGGGCACTTCATTCCAAAGTTGAGTGAGCAGGACTGGCACTCAGTCCTCATTACAAGCAGAGATTTCTTATCGCATCTTTTTGTCTGTGAAAACATTAAAAAAAAAATCAAGTCCCATTCGCAGAGCTTGGCCAATCTTCTCCACTGACTTTATGTCAGTAGAATGACAGGGATGGCAGTGAGGTTGATTGGTCATGACTGGCGGGCTACGTTCAACCTTATCTGGGAAGAGTGTTGAGATCGACGAGCAATGTCTGCCATGGCTGTGCAAGGAGCTGCTTGTACTACCCGTTTGCCATCCCTGATCTAAAGTCTGGAGTCCGGCAAGGTAAGATAACCTCACTACCTGCACTTTTCCATATGGGAAGCTTGCAATACAGAGGGTGCCAAAAAGATGTATACACATTTTAAGAAAGGAAAAAAAACTGTATTAAAATTGTAATACTCAATATATACCGATAACAAAAGATGAATACAAGTATGTGAATACATTTTTTTGGGCACCCTCTGTGTATTGTAGAGTATTCTTTTCAAATGGGACATTGTTAAGGCAGGTTATTCAAGATCAATTGGTCATAGACCATTAAGTCTCAGGGATACCACTTCAGCATTAATTCCACAGTCATAGTGGGTGCCAAGTGCTGTGGAGCATATAGTTTCTGCTCCAAAGATGTCTGCAATCCTTTATTTATGATCCAGCTAGAATGTGGGCTCCATGAGAGCAGTGATCTTTTTCTGTTTTGTCCTAAGCAGCTAGCATAGTGTCTGGCAAGTAATGCTCAGGGCAGATTTGTTGATTGAATGAACGAATTGCAGGAAATCAGAGATGCGCACTAGAAACAGTCAACTAGCAACAACAGGCAGAAGAAAGCTGTTAAAAATGTCTTCAGGACCCCTCATGGTCCAGGGTGCTGGTCCTCCCAACTGGGTTTCCTCCCCTCATTCAAGTTTTCTTCATTTCCCCGTCCAGCTTAAGAAGCAGCTGCTTTGTACAATGAAGACAGACTGAACTTGGTAGTCCAAAGACCTAAGCTGGGCACCAAGTGCAGTGTCTTACTAAGTGTACAATCTGGAATGAATTCCTCCCTCTTTGCCATCATCTGTGAGGAGGAGATACTGATAACCACTCTCCAGGTTACTGAGAACTGTGAACGATGTAACACGTACAAATCGCCTGGCCTGGTAGATGGAACACGGTAGGCAGCAAGTGCTAATTCCTGTGCTGCTTCTCTATACCCATCTCTGTGTTTGGCTTGTTGCCTCTCTGATGGGAATGTTTTTTCCCCTCAACTTGGCTGCCCAAACCTCATATCCTTCAAGGCTCTGTTTAACGCGCCCCCCCCCCCCCCCCCCGCCATCCACAAAACCACACTCATCTCTCTTCCTTTTCTCAGTGGTCAGCCAGTAGAGCACATTTTGTCATCTTTGCTCTTCATTTAACCCCTTGTGGGAGAGGGCCACTTCTCATACTTCTCTGTCTTCCCATAGCATACCCCTTGGGCCCAACGCAAGGGTAGGGGTCATGGGAACATCGTAACTACTTCTAAGTTTATTGGAATCTGGAAGGCTGAAAGAGATAGGAAACCTTACACTGGCAGAGCGGTGCATAGTTATGCATAGTCCCAAAGGCATCATCTTACTGGATCTCGACCGCCCTAAAGATAAGTAGGGCAGGTATCATCATTCCCATTTTAGGGAGGAGACAACTGAAGTGAGGGGAGGTTTAGGGACTTGCCCAAGGTCACACTGTAAGTTAGTGGTCTTCTGATTCCTTGGTTAGCCATTTCTCTTCCCTGCACATGGTATAGTGGTGTATAGGACAACAAAATCTGTGCTTTTACTGGCAGCTTTCATTTGGTGATCTTATGAAGCAAAATAGCACTGGAATAGTCTTTATGGAATAATAATAAAAGCCACCCTTGAGTATAGTTTGAATTAATCCCCTTTGATGGCCGTGATACCTCTTTCTCTCTCTATTTTTTTAATTAAAGTTTATTGGGGTGACCATGGTTAGTAGAGTTACATAGATTTCAGGTGTACAATTCTGTAATACATCATCTATAGATCACATTGTGTATTCACCATCCAGAGACACCACTATATTTTTTAAAGCAGGATTCCCTTTACATTAGGGTTTCCCAGGTGGGTAAGTATATGGGCTGATATTATTTTGTTTTTTCTTTCTTACTAGGCCAGAGTTAATATTCTCTTTTCAAAAATCCTATGACCATCAAATTGTCCTTTTCCAATATGATCCCCTCTTGAAAAGTTAACTCAGCTTTAAGCATCAGTCAAGACCTGATTTGTGCCCTAAAGCAAGCACTCATTATGATGATGGTGATGGTGATAAGAAGAATGGTAATCACTGCTATTTGTGGAGTACTGTCAGGGAAGAAGCTTACAGAGGCTACATATCTTCCTCAGGGCTGAACAGCTAGTAAGTGGAGGAGAGCAGTCTCTGGTCCTCAGAAATATTTGTTAAACAGATGAAACCACAGTTGAAACTCACCCTTGTCTAATCTCAGAGCTGGAGCGTGTAACCATTATTCCATTTTCCAAAGTTTTCGTGACAGGCACTATCAGAATACAGCTAACTGGAGTAAAGTTGGTGCTAAAGGAAATTTGCCTGGCACAGGTGCCGAATCTTGTTTAAGTTTTATTACTAATAGAGCAGCAGTCGTATCTTGTGAAATGCATTTTACATCGGTCACTTGGATGACCTCTCACACGCCCCTCCTTTAGGCTGCCCTTGCTGCAGCTCTGACACTGAACCTGTTCTATGACAGCTCATGTGAGCCTGCTTGAGAAACTGGTAAGCTGGTGTGCTGGTGTACTTCACAGGGGCTACCACTATGACTGCCCTGGGCACTTGTGCTGCCGCTTGTGAGGTAGAAGGATGAATACCTAATGCATTTCATAATACTGTATTTCTCAGCCAGATATCATCCAACTGGGAATTCCCCGGAACTCTCTGCAGCCATTGTTATCTTCTACAGTCAGAATGGTGCCATGGGAGCTATTCACAGTGATGAGAGTCCTAAACACACACACACACACACACACACACACACACACACACACACACACACACACATAACCAGGATACCAAAATCCACCAGGGAAACAAGAATGTTGGCATCAAAATCAGATATCCCCACAGTGGCGTTTTCGCTCTGAAATAACCACCAACTGGGTGAGCACACCTTCAGAAAGACGTTGCATCACCCTTATTCTTCACAAGCTTTCTCTTTACTTTATGAAGTTCACATACTACTCTTTACCCACGACAACATAGGAGAGCAAAAAGCTTTGAACACGTCGTGAAAACCAACAAGTTAAAAAAACCCAAAACACCCCCAAAACTCAAGTCTCATCTTACCTGTTCTGTAGTTTCAGGCAGGGAGCAGAAATTTTGTACCACCAATCCCAGGAAAAAAAGTATTAATTTCTGTAGCATGGTGAGGAAGTATTGGCTCCTTCTCCGTGCCAGGCACCTGCCAGAGAGCTATTTACCTATTTTCACTGCGTCTGATGAACTCCCAGTGAATTCTTTCTCATTTTAGTGTTTGTTTTTAAATGTTTACCTCTCTTCTCCCTAGACTGAACGAGATGACAAGTGAGACCTGACTCGAGGCAGGAAAAATGACAAATCCAGGGCCCGCGGTGACATTGGCTGCTCTCAACTGTATATATACCCTGGTTGAATGGCAGGATATCCTGAAGGGGCTGGGCAGAGCCATGATCTGGAATATTTGTGCCTCATGAAATTCCCAAGGATAAGCTCCTGCCTCTGATTGCTCTGCCCATTACGCCTCTGGTTTTGTCCACACACGGCCCTGCCAGCATTTCCACAAGCACCCCATGGAACACTGCAGGCCTCTCTGTCTGAATCCAAGCTTGCTCTCGGGCAGCTTTTGTGGAAGCACCCATAAATGAGTACACTCCTGGAGAGGGAATGGTGCAGAAGCCTGGGTCCTTAACTTTGAAAACTGGGGGTGGCTTCACCCGGTTGGCTGGCAAACCATTGCAAAGAAATGTCTCTTTGCAGATGCCAAGAGTTGGGGTTTTGACTCGTCCTTTCACCTCTTCCATGTCACCTCAGTAGCAAATGACTGAACCTATAGATCTCATCTTTCCCTCCAAGGCTACGTCTTCAAAGATCTAATGCCACCTCTTCAGGGAAGCCTTCCTGTCCTGCCCCTCCAATAGCATTTGGAGACCCTCCTAGCTTTATGCATGTAATGCTACAAAAGCCCCGTCATAGCTGTCACAATCCATCTCTCTGTATGTCTGTCTCCCATGCCCAATTGTGAATTCCTTGAGGACAGGGGCATAGCCTTCATTGTCTCCGTACCTTTGGTGACCTAAAACTGAGACCTGCATTTGAAAATAATAACAAATAATAATAGCTAACATTTGTTGAAAACTTAGTACGTGCTAGTCACTAGCCTAGATCTCTCCATAGATTAGTGTGTTAAATCCTCACAACACTTTGTGAAATAGTGAGGATTATTTTCTCCAATTTACAGATGAGGAAACTGAAGCAGAGAGGTTAGGCAACTTTTCCAAGGTCACACAGCTAGTGGGTGGGGATCCGGTTTTCAAAGTGTGTGGTGCCAGAGCTAACACTATTCATCACTACCCTCTCCTGCCTAAAACAATAAACATTTAATGCATAAATAAACAGCAGGTGGTACTCCAGTCCCACTGACATAATGGAAAAGAAAAGTGTCAGGCCCAGAACCAAAAACGATCAAGTTTGGGCTTATCAATAAGATGGCTTATGAGGGTATAGCTCATGATACTGAGTTAACCGGGGGACTCATGCAATTACAGAGACTAGTTTGGGTTAAGTAATCCTCTTTTCTCTGCCAAGTCTTCCTCTTTTTGAATTTTTAAAACAACGTGACATTATACTAATCAATAATCTGAGAAACTGCCAATACAGAAAGCCTTAAAAGGTGAACCCAGAAGTCTGAATGGGAAGATGCCTGATGAGGAAGCCCTGGGTTCGAGTGGGTTTCAACCATGGCTCAGAATCCTGGAGGAACTTAGAAAAAATCCCCTGGTGTCCAGCTCTACTCCAGAACCATCAAATCAGAACCTCTGGGCGTGGCGAACAGGAGTGTTTTTCAAAGCTTCCTGGGCGGTTCCCAGGAAGAGGACTGTTGTTTGGTGAAAAATTAACTGTTATTCTGTAAAGCTAACGAAGGTTTGAGGTTTGTCTGTTACAGCAGCTCTATCACCTTAACGGATATTACCAGGAAAAGCAGTTCAAAGCTTCTTTCTGATTCTTTTCTCTCGGAAAGACATGGATACATTTCTGGGGCTTGGAATGGGCTAGATCCCTGGGGAAATAATAAAATGCACCCATACTTGCATTTCACAAATATTGGGTTGTCAGAAAAGTCATGACGCATTTTTGCAATGAAAAACATAGACAAAATACATCATGACTTTTCCGACAGCCCAATCGTTCTAGAAGATGCAGCAGGGGATGCTGGGGAAGAATTCGCTCATCAGATAATTTGAAAAAGGCTGCCTCTGGGTTCTCTTTCTTATGTACTGACCATTCTCATTAGGCTAGTAAAGGTTCTGCAGTAAAACATAATATAACAAAACCAAAGTAATGTTTTCCTTTTTTTTTTTTTTTTTTTAGACCAAGAGATGTTCTCCCTTTGCAAACTTGACTTAGCAACCTCCAGATTTGGTGCTCTATTGATCTCTCTTAGGGAAATACAGTCCTAGCCTATAGCAGGTTGAATATTCTATTTTTAAGTTGCAAGGAAGTAGAAGTTAGGCTTCCAATGGCCATGGGGTCTCCACGGACCTGTTCATATACTTTATCAATTAGTTGCATTAAAAAAATTCTTATAACTCACAGGGCTTTGTTTAGAGATTAACTGAGTAGTTTTGTTAATTTTATTTCTTCGAGGCTCATTTGAACAGAGAACCTTCAGATTATTTCAAATCCTTACCACTGCTTTCCCCAAATGTACCTGCAATCAACAAATAAAGCGCTTATATTGGTACCTAGCACACAGTGGGTGCTTAGCCACTCTCTTTTTATTTATTTTTTTTAGCTGAGCCATCCTACTACCTGTTGGCAGCTCAGCGGCTGCTCAGCTCGGGCTGGACTCGAACCGCTGTTGCTCAGAGCTCAAACTCTTGAGCGAGCTCTTAACCAACTGAGCCACTCAGCCGTCCCTGCTTAGCCACTCTTAATCATCATTATTATGTAGTTAAACTATGCCAATTTCATAGACAACAGCTACACAAATCTCTACTCTATGCCCAGTGCAGCTCTGTGGTGGGTCAGGCTTTCCTCTGTCCTGGGTTGCCCCAGTTCTGCTGATCTGTGTGTCCTTCACAGGGTGGGATGTCACTTTCTTTACTGTGGTCCACATACCTTTTTGAAGATTGTTTAATCTCTGTCTCTAATCATTCAAAGTTGTTTTGAGAAGAGAGTGGTTTTTTTAAAGATTTTTAAATTAAAAATATAGCTAACGTACAATATTATATTAGTTTCAGTGGTACACCATAGTTATTCTATATTCATATACCTATAGAAATGATCACCATGATAAGTCCAGCAACCATCTGACACCGTACCACGCTATCACAATATTATTGATTATATTCCCCATGCTGTAGAGTACAGCCCCATGACTTACTTGTTTTGTACCTGGAAATTTGGACCTTTTATTCCCCTTCATATTTCCCCCTCTCCTTTTTAATTTTTCAATTACAGTTGACATTCAATATTATTTTATATTAATTTCAGGGGTACAACATAGTGGTTAGACATTTATATAATTTAAGAAGTGATCCCCCTGACTAGTCTAGTACCCACCTGGCACTCTACACAGTTATTACCATATCATTGACTATATTCCCTATGCTTTACTTTACATCCCCATGACTATTTTGTAACTACCACTTTGTACTTCTTAATGTCTTCACCTTTTCACCCTGTCCCCCAACCCCCTCCCATCTATCACCCCAACAAATATACTACCCATCTGACACCATACATAGTTATTACAATATTATTTACTATATTTTTTATGCTGTACCCTACACCCCCATGACTACTCTGTAACAACCAATTTGTACTTCTTAATCCCTTTCCCTTTTTTCATGCTGCCTCCAACACCCCTCCCATCTGGCAATCATCAAAATGTTTTCTATATCTATGAGGTTGTATCTGTTTTTTTTTGTTGTTGTTTATTTTGTTCTTTAGCTAACATATATAAGCAAAATCACATTGCATCTGTCTTTCTCTGTCTTACAGTCCACTCAGCACAATATCCTCCAGGTCCATCCATGCCGCCAGCCACAGATGGCGAGAGCCCATTCCCTTCCATGGCCAAGCAATATTCCATTGTATATATGTACCACCTCCTCTTTAACCATTCATCCATTGATGGACACCCAGGTTGCCATCATATCTTAGCCATTGTTAACAATGCTGCAATGAACATATGGATGCACACATCCCCTCGAAGTAGTGTTTTGGGTTTCTTTGAATAAACACCCTGAAGTGGGATTACTAGGTCCTTCTCTGTCTCTTGTTATAGTCCTTGTTTTAAAATCTATTTTGTCTGGTATAAGTATTGCTACTCCAGCTTTTTTGTTTTTGTTTTTTTCATTTCCATTTTCATGAAATATCTTTTTCCATCCCTTTACTTTCCGTCTGTGTGTGTCTTTCAATCTGAAGTGCATCTTTCGTAGGCAGCGTATGTAAGGGTTTTGTTTTCCTAACCATTCAGCCCTCCTGGAGCATTTAATCTATTTACATTTAAAGTAATAGATATGTATGATATGGGGGGGTGGCAGTGGAGGGGGCAGGGGTGTTGTTACTTTGTGAGGGGTGAAAAGGATAACTATTGCATTGTTTTGTATACCTGAAACCAATCAATCATTCAATCAATCAATCAATCAATCAATAAAGATATGTAAAGATAGAAATATAATTAAAAAGATAAAGTAATTGTTGATAGATATGTAACTATTGCCATTTTATTATTCATAATTTTGATCTTTTTTTTCCATCTTAAAAACGTCCCTCTAACATTCCTTGTAATATTGGTTTGGTGGTGATGAACTCCTTTAGATTTTTCTTGGCTGAGAAACTCTTTATCTGTCTTTCAATTTTAAATGATAGTCTTGCTGGGTGGAGTACCCTTGGTTGTAGGTCCTTGTTTTCTATCACGTTGACTATTTTGTGCAAATCCCTCCTGGCCTGCAAAGCTTCTGTTGAGAAATCAGCTGACAACTTTATGTGAGCTCCCTTATAAGTTACTAGTTGCCTTTCTCTTGCTGCTTTTGAGATTCTACCTTTGTCTTTAATCTTTGCTATTTCAATTATAATGTATCTTGGTGTGGGCCTGTTTGAGTTCATCTTGTTTGGGCCTCTCTGCACTTCCTGAACTTGCATGTCTATTTCCTTCACTAGGTTAGGAAAGTTTTCAGTCATTATTTCTTCAAATAGGTTCTCAATCCCTTACTTGCTTTCTCTCTTCTCCTTCTGGTACCCCTATGATGCAAATCTTGTTATGCTTGATGTTGTCCCAGAGGTCTCTTAACTGTCCTCTTTTTTTGGATTCTTTTCCTTTTTGCTGTTCCAATTGGATGGTTTATTTTACCTTGTCCTCCAAATCACTGATTCAA